CAGTTCTATGAACAGCGCTGCTTCAGTGCAGCCGAATATTAATAAACAGCTCTGCGTACCGTGATGAGCACGCAGTGCGCGTCATCCAGCTGTCCCGCTTTGTCTCCCAGCAGCTCAGCGAGGCGCTGCGCGTCGCTCACTCTCACGATGCTGATGTCGTTGTCGAAGCAGAAAGCCTGGATGAGGGTGAAGTGAATCTGCAGGGCGATGTCGCACTCGAACTCCTCGTCCATCGCCAGCACGCAGAAAGCAACGCTGTCAGGATCGCTGCAAAGCAAAGAGAAAAGTCCATCAACACATGAGTTTAAAGCAAAGAAACAGACAGAAGTTCATAAGCACAAGCTGAAAGTGACTTAGCATGGCTAACACATGACTGAGGCCATCAGACATCCCAGAAAAACAACACTGATCTAAATAATTTTATTCTGTGTTATTGCTATAAAAGGCACCATTCTTAAGAAGTTTGTCTTTAACTTGCACTGAAGAATCCTGACCCTGACTCACTCTGGCCCCATTCCTAATTCCTTTCCCAACCCAAAACCTAAACCACAAGCCAGTCCTCATCCTGCACCCCCAACACTGCTAACCTTCACCAGACAGCTGTGCTAATTTGACCATTAGTAGATGACCCACAGCGGACAATCCAGAGTTCTGACCAGCTATGAGTAAGTTTGCTGTTCAGGACGAAAAGTAAAGTCTCTCCTCATACTTACTCGTTCATGATTTTGGCGCATTCGTACACTCCAGCGGTGAGGCGACCCTCATCCCGCGCGCACATCATGGCCTCCACCAGGCACGCGCCCTCAGAAGCCATCTTCAGCTATACAGCAGTGCTGAGTACGTGCTGGTGTTTGGAGTTGGATACGGTCTCAGTAAGGTGTGTGTGTGTGGAGTTAGGTGAGTGTAGAGTGTGTGAAGTGACAGCCTCCCGGCACGCGACCAGTATTTATAGGCAGGACGTGGCACGCGCTGGTGGCAGCGACCGCCCTGATTGGCTGACCAGTGGAAGATGAGAGGCAGGAGGCGCGTGCCTTTAGATATGCAAGACATCAAAAAGTTTCTTTATGAATGGGTCAGAGTTCAGGCACTCTTTTACGCTTTTATCCAGCTTCAATTTCCAGCTTTTCACCACAACATGTAAACTGTCAGCTGTGCAGGGAACAATGGTTTGGACACTTTGTGCTACGTTGATAAGCGATATTGTCTTTAAGTTACTTGATTCAAATGTGTACATTGGCTCCAAAATAGCAAAGTATATTATAACTAGAGTTGTTGCCAAAGAAGAGCAATGAGGATGAAACAAATGTGCAATGTGGAAATGTTTATACATTTCAATCCAGAGAAGCCAAGGCACTTATTTTTAGTGTTTGTTTGTTTTTTTTTGTTTTTTTTTTAGTTTATTATATCTTTTGCCAAGTCATTTCGCAAGTGCGTTCAGAGAAAACCTATGTGGTTTACTTTATGTATAGTTTCTCAGTGAATAAAGTATCAATTTTGCATTTGAATGCACACAGATTACTGATATTTTAGCTTAAAACTGCATCTTTATAATAGACAGACGTTCATCCACATTGAAAGAAAACAGTGCTTTGAATTCAGGCGATTCAAATACTAGTTGCACCAGCATAAAATGTACTACATCAACCCAATTTTCACCATAAAAGTAAATAGTTTGTGTTGATAAAATCTATATAATTATGCTAATGTGCAACCGATTGACACATCATTCAAATCCCAAAAAAGTGCTATTTGGTCATTGTATGCACGCAAACTGCATCTGACCTGCCTGCTAAACTAGCAGTAACGGTCATAAGCTCGGGAATGAAGCTCTCAGATGCTTTTGCATGCTGTTCAAATAGAATATAGACAGTAATATTGCCCTTCATTGTGAGTGACATTCATACAAAACACGCGTGCATTTCGCTGAGATACAGAAAAGTGTGTAAATGCAGCGAATCAGAGCTCCAGTCACTCCACACTTCTGCATTATTTCTGGCTGATAATATCAGACACGCGCTGCTCGACTGCTCTCGCTGAGGTGGCCTTACTCGAGGCGCGTGCCATCTGGGGATGCTCCTCTGTCACTAGCGACGGAAAAGGAGGGGGTGAAGGGTCAATAAAGCAAAAGCTCTCTGATCGCTATCAGCTCCTGACTAACACCCTGCAGCCTGTGTCTTTATTCACAGCAGCACGACTGATGGGCTGGAGTTTTGGACGAAGAACGAACCTGCTTGATTATTTTTTATTGCTTGGGTTGGTTGGTGCATTGCGGACACATCAGAAACTGAACGTCTATTTTTAACTTTATAAGTCAGTGAGCTGGTCACGTTAACATTTTGAATAGAAACTCTAGGAAGTGAACAACCGCACCAATCCAGATTATGGTACTATCTGAGCACACTGTGTATAAAAGAAAAAAGGTTATTATAACAAGTCCAGATAACCGCTAGATTTTAATGTGTTAGAGCTGTCAGACAGAAATATAACTCAAACTGAACATTTTTGGACGCTTCACTGTAGAAATGTTTTATTATTGTTATTTTAACCTGAGAGGGTTGGATTAAAATGTTAATGTAAACCCCAACAGTAAGTGAAAATCAACACAAACATATTATTGTTCAAATTGACCACATAGGGACGCAGTAAAAATCGATTTTGCAGGATCAAACTGGTGATAACATTACAGTGTGATCTGATTTAGTGTTCTTACATTGTAACACTATGAGAAGTTATATCATACGATATGGTGCTGTATATGTATCATATTCTCGTATAATATTCCTGTAGTGCTTATGGTGTTCTATACTAGGTTACTTGTGTACCCAATAATAAACTCCACTAAAACATAGTTACAAAAATAGTTTTAAAAAGTTAGTAAACTGTCTATTCTAGTCTATTCTAGTCAATTGAACTTGAAATGTTAAGTTAATACAATGTAAGACGCGCATTTTTATTGTGTCAATAGAACTTTTAATAGTAAGTTAACTCAAAATATAAAGGCAACCTGATTACTGTCTCTTTGAGCTGGTAATTTTCTGAATAGATTCCTGTAGAAATTCCTGCAGTATTACTTTTTTCAGAGGTGGTGATTTCACTGCTGGTAGTTTCATTAAATGAGCCAGATGATGGAAGTTGCTGCTGTTTGTTCTTCTTCTCAGCGGCAGCTGGCAGCACGCGGATCATGTAGCTCTGAGGCTCTGAGGACAATGACTCACAGCAGCTCTGTGTGTGTACGGTGGAGGGGCTGGTAGGGAGGAGGGGGTGGTTAGAGGCTGCACGCGCCGGAATGGCTCTGCTTGACACCTGTCACTGCGCCCTGCAGATGTGCTGCGACTTGCACGCGCCCCAGCAGCTGCACCAGCTCGTGAGTGTGCAGTGAGTTTGGGCTGCTGCTCGGTCGCGTTAGAGCACCATCTTACCAGGCTGCTGCAAACTGCATCGGATGTGTTTCCTACATGAGGGGGCTCCTCATTGTCTTTAGCAACGTACACAAACGTGCCAAATGGAAAACAGCGAAGCTGAACAACTGTGCTGAAACAGACTAATGTGTAATTTAATCTATTACTGGGTTTTATTTTGACTTTGGTAGCGTAGTAGATAAACAATAGGCCTAGTGGTAGGTGCTGCGGGGTGATGGAAGGGTTTGAATGGGGTTGAATGGGGCTGAGTGGGAGGGGTGCCCTCCATCTGCTCCTGCATGTTAACAATAGGCCTGAATCTGCCCGTCTGTTGTTCTCTCAAACCACACTACATTTCTGTCAGCGCTCCTCTATCAGTTTGCATTTGGAATGGATCTGTCTATTACCAAATATGCAGTAGATACGTCCACAAAAGGACAGCATTCATAACTGTTTTTAAAGTTGCATGTCTGTATCAGTTTGCATTGAGATCTTTGGCCTGATCTACATTAGCTATGGGCAAGTTTGTGCTTTGAAATGTGCAGACTGGGCTACTTTTAAAGCACATCTAGGCTAACTAAAACGCAAAACTAAAACGTCCTCGAGTTTAATGCAGGTGCACACGTGCACGCCAACTCACCTAATACAGCACAAAACCACTTTGCATATGTACGTTTATTCTATGCATTTGCAAACTGCTCTGCGGAAAGCTGCTGCCTGCGTGTCACGTGACTCGTGGCCGGCGCGAGGCAGATTGTCCGGCGGGGCGTCACGGCACGCGCGACTCATTTGCATTTCTATACAGCTCTAATAATAAAAGTTTCTCAACTCACAATAGAGCCGTTTCAGCCCTTCCACAGATGGCCACACTCCACCTGCCCCTCTGCCTGGGAGGGGGGGTCTATAGTCCTGCACTCGCTCTCTTTCACCACCACAATGCTCCACACACTTTCTCTCCTCTGTTTTCAGTCCTATAAACTGTTTACTATAAATGTTCAGGGTTTTTGTCGTATTATTTTGTGCTTGCAGTCAACGCTCAAATGCTTTTGATAGCCAGCTAGAGCTGCTGTATAACTTTTATAACACACACACACACACACACACACACACATACGTATACATATGTATACATATGTATATATATATATATATATATATATATATATATATATATATATATATATATATATATATATTAATTAATTATTAAATGTTTGTGATTTAGAGAATCAGCTCTAAATTTTGCTAGGTCTCCAAAATTTCACAGAAGCATTCACACTTAATATTCCACATTTAAACGTGTTGCAACCCTCTTGACAGAGAATAAATAAAACGTTTTAAACTTATAAACAATTCACCAGAAAGTCTGCAGGCCAAAAAAAAAAAAATCTGATCTCCATCAATCTGCCACGAGCCGCACTGTGACAATAGCTATTAGCATACCAATACACTCTTCGGTTCAGCCAATCAGAATGCGCGGGCACCAGCTTGCTCCCCCGCTCAGCCAATCAGGAGTCGCAGCTTTCACCAGCTGCCACGAGCCAAGACAGTATAAAAGCTGGACCTCTGCTCTGACTCGACACCAGATCCTTTCAGGATTACTCGCATATCTGCTTCTTTTGCTTCTACCTTGTGGAACCTGACCAGCCTCACCATGACTCTGGAGGAAGTTCCCGTGCAGAACTGCAGTGAGAAAGTTTGCCGCACCGGCGAGGCGCTGCAGGAGGCCCTGGAGTCCGCCCAAGCCAACGAGTGCCTCACCATCGGCGTGTACGAGTCTGCTAAAGTCATGAATGTGTAAGTATTGTGCGACTGGCGTTCGTGCGTTGCTGTTTAGCGCTGCAGTGAATCATTTTTCTCAGTTCGGTTACATTTGTGTTGCTCATGTTTCTCTTTACTTTGTTGTGCTTACAGCGATCCTGACAGCGTGGCTTTCTGCGTGCTGGCGATGGACGAGGAGTTCGAGTGCGACATCGCCCTGCAGATCCACTTCACTCTCATTCAGGCTTTCTGCTTCGACAACGACATCAGCATCGTGAGAGTGAGCGACGCGCAGCGCCTCGCTGAGCTGCTGGGAGACAAAGCGGGGCAGCTGGATGACGCGCACTGCGTGCTCATCACGGTACGCAGAGCTGTTTATTAACTAATATTCGGCTGCACTGAAGCAGCACTGTTCATAGAACTGCATGCGTGTGAGACACTTTCAGACTGAGAGTAGCTCTTTCAGTGTGTACACATTTGTTCATGTTTGTGTTTTTTTTTTCTCCTCCAACAGAACCCCACCGAGGGCTCGTGGGAAGACCCCGCTCTGGAAAAGCTGCACGTGTTCTGCGCAGAGAGCCGCAGTTGCCACGAGTGGGTTCCGGAAGTGACTCTGCCCGCGCGCTGAGCCTCTCTGCACTGCACTGCTGCTGCAAGTTTGAAGGAAATACTCTCCTCATTCTGAGGATCGAGGATGATTCTGATGAAGCTCCTGTGGAGGCTCATGAACGCGCGAGCGCGCGTGGACAGGCCCGGGCGGTGCTCGTGTCGCTCCTCGTGCCCCGCGCACGTCGAGCCGAGCCCCCTCCTCGTTTGTGTGAGTGAGGGGTGTCCCGGGCCGAGAGCGAGCCGATGGCCCTCATTCTTTGTGCGGATGAGGTTTGGAGAGGAAGGAGAAGCGAGTTGGGCGGCGAATGGGGCGATGCGTTGGAGTCGCAGAGGAGGCGGAGCTTCGAGCCAAAGAGGCGGAGCTTCCGCTGAATAGGCTGAGCTTCGAACAGAGCAGGAGAAGCTTTCAGTCGAGGAAGCGGAGCTTGTGGCCGAACAGGCGGGGCTCACAGCCGAAAAGGCAAAGTTTTCAGCTGAAGAGGCGGGGCTTTTGGCCAAAAGGCGGAGCTTTGAGCCGGACTGCACTCCACCACGCCCACTTTCCCCAGTAGAGGCACCTCACTGTGGGCAATAGGCTTTCCACTCTCCAGAAGGGTCTTATTCTCTAAAGGGTTCACTTTAGATTTTACTGCATATGAGGAAGGAGGAAAAACATCTTCAAAGGTTTCATTATGGAAATATTTGAGATGTCAGAAAAGAAGAAAAAAAAATCTGAAAATGAAATCTCCAAGTTTCACTTTGGAAATCTTGAGAATAGAAGGGGGGGGCGGGATTCTGGTGGCTTCACTTTTGAAATATCTGATGTCAAAAGAAAAAAAAAATACAAAGAAAAAAGCTCAGAAGGTTTCACTCTGGAAATATCTGAGATGTTAAAAAAAAAAGGAAAAAAGAATCTCTGAAAGTTTCATTTTGGAAATATTTGAGATGTCAACATGTGAAAAAAAAGTTTGGAAATATTTAATCTGACAGAAAAAAGTCTTAATAAAACGATAAAATGAAATTTTGTGTAATGTGTTTATTTTCGTTTAGATGTTCTGGTTATGCTGTTGTCAGACTGCTTTGGCTCTTCAGTTGGCAAACTGTGTCGCCTTAGTTTTCATTCTTGAGCAAATTTGCATTGGAGGCCACAAACAGTGCCAGCTGCCTGCTGCAGTGGCCTCTGATCTGAATGTGCAGAGCCAAAGCACAATGGCAGCACACTGTCCCGTCAGAATGGGGGCCTGAACAAGGGGCCCATTGTTGGAGAAGCAGATGTCTGAGCTGCCACGCACCTCCATCTGCCATGGTGAGCAGATGGTAGGTGAAGAATGAGACCACAGGGGCAGGGAGGGGGGTGTTGGGCTGCCATTAGGGCTCAGTGTCACAAAAACTGCCTGTGGCTCCTGCAAGGCCTGCTGCAACTCTCATCCCTGATGGATGGAGGCCAATGAAAGAAATTGCAAATGAAAGAAATTATGCATGCGTTTGAAAAGCGTGTTCTAATTTTCAAAGCCATAACTAATGCACAGATACAAATGAGATCACCATTTTCTTATTCTAATATAAGCAGAAATCACAAATGATATATTTTACGTTTTTCTTTTATCACCCAGATAAAAAAAGCAAATGCTTTAATGCACTTTATTAGCAAAAATAGAAAACATTCACATAACGTGATTGTTACAGCTCTTAACTTACAGTCTAGAGTTTATTATTAGAATAAATCATAAATTATTGTTTTTTTTTATTTCATTAACGGCCAATGTGTTTGAATTCTCAAAGCAAACATCTAATGTCTTTCATTAAATCTTTCATTTACTTTCATAAACATTTTAGGTATGTAGTCTCTTTATCTGCAAATGCACTTCTTTGATATGCAGTTTCTTCTGCTAATTGAAAAGAACACAAACAGTAGAAGACAAAATGAAACATTAAGGGCAAGGTGTAAGTAAAATGATTAAATAAATAAATAAAAGCACATGTAAATGTGGTACAATTGAAATGGTCACCTACTGATAATAAGTGTGTAACAAATTTTCAATACAATTTGTGAATCAAGATTTCGAGGTCAAGATTTTATGTGACATATCAGAGATATGTTTTTAAATTTTGATACACTTTGTTTCAAACCTTTTTCTTTTTTTCGACTTTTCTGTACTGTATTGAAATTGTTACACTTTTAAGTGATATTAAGTAGGTTGCTAAGCTTGCAATGCAAGACTATGAACCTTGTAAACTAAAACAAGTGAACTCCATCAGTTCAATTATTGCAGACATAAAATCCATTAACACTTTATCCTCACTCTCAAAGCTTAATAACTGAATCATTTCCACTGAGTCATAACTGAATCATTTCCACTGAATAATAAGTGTTAGCATGCACAAATAATCAGCTCAAAAGATTAAGAAAGAACACACAGTTTTGAGGTGTGCCGCAAATTCCTGTAGGCACGAAGACTGTCCCGTTTAGGGTCTTTGACTACACCTGTTATCATAGGGGCGCGCTCAGTTCCCTTGCTTCTTTGGATCCTGTGCAGTAGGATGCGATAAATACCTGTGACTGGGCTTCGACTGTTCTTGCTCTGGTTGTTGAGGATGTGTTCTTCAGTCACTCCCAGTTCCTGCAGAGCGACACGCACCTCCTCTTCTTCTTGGTTCAGCCTTCCTGGACCAGACTCCAGCAGATGCATGGGGTTAGGCCAGTACGCGGGTGGAACAGGACGGAAAAACTCCACAGGCAACAACCATTCACAACCCAGCATCTGGTCCAGGGCGTAGCGCTCAGAAGGCTCAGGCTTCAGGATGCCCTGGATCAGCCGCTGGCATGGAGCTGACACCCATGTAGGCAGAACGTAGGCCCCCTCAAGTACACAACGCCGCAGCTTAGGAACAGTGTCAGCGCGAAAAGGCATGGTGCCAGTCACCATGAAGAAGAGGAGAACACCCATAGCCCACACGTCTACAGGTGGCCCCATGTAGGACTCATCCTTGAACAGTTCTGGAGCTGCATATGGAGGAGAGCCACAGAAGGTGTCCAGCATCTGATTATTAGTGCTGACCCTCGTACTGAAGCCAAAATCAGCCACCTTCACACAGGCATTGCAGGAGAAGAGGACATTTTCTGCCTTCAAATCCCGATGGATGATGTTGTTGTCATGCTGAAATATATGATAAATATAGTAAGACAAAAGATTTTTCATATCGCTGCTGTCGGAAGAAAACCTCTTATTGTTTTTCAGTTTTTTACATAATTTGAAAATGCCTGTTGCCCCTCATATTGTATGTAAATTTCATGAAGAATGGACCAAAAGAAATGGCCAGAAATGACTTTGAAAAAAGTCTGGTTCCATTGACTTACATTAAAAGTAAAGTAGGTTTTTTCCTTCTCCTGTAAAGTTACCATTTTGGTTTTCAACAAGGTTTTCTTCCAACAACAGTGATATGCAGATACTCCTATATCAAAACTTATACAAAGAGAAAAAATGTTTTTTTTTCTGCTTTTTAAATTTTCTCTACTTATTAAAGAGCACAATTCCTTATTACTGCGGTAGCACCCATTTTAAATGAAATGACAATGATCTAACAAAATGAAACTGCCATATTGCATCTAACTGCAACAGCACAGGCTGGGGCAGCACTGTGGATTTACAACACATTTGACACATTTATTGCATTATCTTACCCAACATAAGATACTTTGCATCAGAATTACTAGATCATCTTATTAAACATTTAATAAGACAATAAGACTTTCTCTTGAAGTGCAGACACAGGCATCTACACCACTAGTTGATCTGCACAAACATTCTACACGAAAGCAATGCTAAGGGTTTCCCAGACAGGGATTAAGCCTAGCCTTGGATTACATTTTCCTTTTAATGGAGAACCTCCATTCAGAGCTCTGTGTAGTCCAGGACTAGGCCTAATCCATGTCCAGGAAACTGACTCTAAATGCTTTGTTCTGCTAAGATTGGTAATACCTGGTAAATGCTACTTATGATATTGTTGTGTAATGGGATTTAGAACTGACCATGTGCTTTACAGCAGATAGGATTTGGGCAAACACAATCTTGCTCTCTGGATCAGAGATTTTTCCTTGAGAGGTGATCCTGCTGTGGAGGTCTCCTCCTCCAGCATACTCCAGAACCAGGTATAATCGACTTGGCGTCTCCACCACTTCATAAAGACGAACAACATTCGGGTGATACAAGCTCTCCATGCTGGAGATCTCTCTGGACAGCATTATCTGGGTCTGCAGGTCCAGCCTCAACTTATCCAGAACCTTGATGGCAACTTTGTCTGCAGTGAATGCGCAAAGTGGAGAAGCAATTATGTTGATGTGATTATTGCATATTAATTCATTTAGCCTCTGATCTTCATTAACAAATTTCCATGTAGTCCCAGCCAAGAAACCTGCATTGTCTTGTTAAATTAATACTTAAATTTAATTTAACCTCTTACACTGCAAGAGCTTGTGGGTCCACACATCAATTCCTCACTCTCTTGACTACAAAATATATATTTTAGCTTATGGGTTTAATGAATAATTCATTGTAGTTACTGAGTAGCGTATTTTCATTTTAATAACTGAACAAAAAGGTCTATTATTAAGGAATGATCTAGACATGTTTCATCTTACCTTTGGTGAGGGCATGGAAAGCCAGTTTGACTTTGGAAAAGTTCCCACACCCGATCTCACCACGGACTTTGTAGAAGCCGACCCTTCTACCCACAGTCAGCTCCTTGATGGTATTTTCATCGTGGCACATATCCAGTGTTAACTTCTCCAGAGGTGTGAGGCGTCTGGGTGGCTCCTCTTCCTCTTCCTTCTCTGGCCCACAATCAGAGCTGTCTGTCAGGCTGTACAGGCTGTGTCGTGGCACTTGTGGAGACATCTGACCGGCGCTCACACGCAGTGTGTTGCCCTTTAACACTAAAATCATAACAGGTGTAAACAATCTTAATCTCTTTCACTTAGCTTGTTGCTTGAATGTAATGTACATAGCCTCTGGTACATTTGCAATTTTTGTAACCCAAAACTTGAAGTTTGCATTTTACTTAGAAAAAGAAAAAACAACTTTTAGACCACCCTTAATGTAGAATGCAGAAGATTGTCACAATGGGATTAGTCTATATCAACAGTAACTAGTGATCTTTTAACAGAGTTAACAAAGAATGCATTACATTAATGACACATCTTAACTGTTTCTCACCTCTGCTTTATGCTTTTGAGGTTGGATTAAGGCACGCCTCTTCTTCCAGTCACGACAACGCCAGGTCCCTCCACGTCTTCACATCCTCTTTAAATGGCATCTGTTGTCATGTTACATCTCAAAATACTTTTTGTAAATTAAATGCAAATAATCTCAGTTAACATTTTACCAAAACTTCCATGCTGTCCCCTCTTTTGTTCTATTAACTTGTAAGATTGTAAGGTCCTCCATACTAAACTACTGGGGAGATCCTACATGCCTCCTACACAGTCCTGCAATATTCCCTCCCACTTTATCTGTCGGTCTAAATTGCACTGTCGAAGAAGGGATTATGCTGGTGTCATGTCTCTTAATCTCTCAGCTTTATTTAGGCGTACCTTAATCCTCACCAATTTCCAGAGCGAGGTCTCTGAAGCATGACAGACACATCACTAATGACTTTTTACTCACTATGTATTTGCACTGACATGCTGTTAGCAACAGGACAGCCTTAACAATTAGCCAGTATGTTTGCTGGACTGTGAAGACACAAGTGTTGTCTCTGTGCTTAATGAGATTGATCTCTGATGAGCACTTCGGGTACAGGGAAAGATCAAACATTATATAACTACTAAACGAGATTAGCGCAGTCCCTCTTTGACACACAAAAGAGTTTGGCAGATAATGTGATTATACTTAGCTTCATAATCTTTAGAGTGAGTCTTGCAGGATGCACATTCACATTCAGGCACGTTCAGGTGTGCTGTTCCACTGAAACGTGCATGATATTCAACTGATCTGAATATACCTCCTGAATGGTTTGTTTGAGCATGCTAAGTTTAAATCTGTGTAAGCACGATAGCTTAAAGAATTATGTTACATTTTCTTTTGTTTATTCAGTTTTGGGGTCTAGTCATCTGTGTATAGTGTTCAATAGTGTAAGGACTGGACCAATATAGGAGAAAGTCACAAGGATGGTCAGACAAATATTAATAATTTAATAGGCCACATATTTTTGACACCCTTCTTTAACATAGGGAATATACTACACAAATGCAGTTTTACATGGTCACATATTTACAGCAACTCCTGACTGCTCTGGCATTTCACTAGGCATAGAATGCCCCTAACGATGCCTAGCAACTAGGGGAACTTAAGTTTACCAGTACATGATAGATCTTTTATCAAAAATGTACGCATTTTTTAAAGTTTTCATTAAATGAGAAGAAACATCTGGTTAAAAATTCTCCCTACACTGCTTCAAAACCTTTCTAACTTTGCAAAAAAACTTGCTAACTTTGCAAGCTTTGCAAGCTTCCTGGCAAGCGCTATCTTACCTACTCGCCACCATATCATTGGCTCATCTAGCCAACTGCCTTCATTTATCTGTGTTACAAATAGGTAAACTGATTAGTACACATATATTGCACGTACACATGTACTGTGTGCACCACTGTGCACAATAAATATTCCGTGCAATTTTCCAGCAATGACAAAAAAGCTTTCTCATCTTAAATATGGGACAAATAAAACATTTTTTGAGGAAGTTAGGGCTTAATGGTCACCCTAGTTAGGAAGTTATAAGCAGGTGTGTTTGCAAAAGAGATCCAGACATATAAATCAGTGAAGTCATTCCAGGTATCTAATACTAGTTTCAGACTTTCTTCCAGGTATGTACTTGACACTTTACGTGTGTGTGTGGGTGTGTGTTTGTAAGAGGTGCTGAATTACAAGGTGTTTCTAATGAGATTATAGGTTTTCAGTGGCCACGTTAATTCGTGATGAACACATGCTGAACGTGCTCCAAAGTCCTTTAGTGTTTATTGACCTCTACAATGCTTTTCCTTACACACAGCGGTTCATACAAATAGAGCAGCTCATGTATGTATCTGTATGATTAAGAACACAAAACAAAGTAGCAACACAAACAACACAAAGTAGCAACACAACTAAGTTTTTATTACAAAATATATTACACTGTGTTTAAAGCTGTACCAAAAATGTTGTAATATACATGTAGAATAAATCAATGTACGATCCTATACCGGCTACAGTGGGGTAACTGAAAAATCTGTTAATTCTTTCTCTTCTTCAGATGTGACTCAGACAACCCCAGCACATTTTGCTGCTCAAGCTCTTTGACTCTCTGACGAAGAGCCTCAATTTCCTTGTTCTTTTCCTCCTGCAGAAACTGCAACTTCTATAGATGAGCAGAAAAACACACACATATAATCACTATCATAAAACCAAAACAAACACTTTTTACTTATTCACTGTAAAAACCAGTCTGTAACAATTACAGTGCAGTGCCACAGTGCACACTGCAGTGCAACTCACCCTTTTAAAGATGTTCTGAGGGAGCAGCCCAGAGGCTTGTGGCTGCTGTTGGGTCATGACTGACGCACTCTGGGCCCTTGCAAGCTTAGCACTGAACTACAAAGAAGGGTAATGAGCATTTATGTCTTTTTCAATTGCCGCAATGTGATCCACTGTGCCTACATTGGCTTGAGAAATAATGATCCACCTTAGTGTTTGCCACTTCTGCACATCCAGCTTAAGCTTAGCTGGGAATACCTGCTTTAGGTAGTGAGCCTGAATATGTTTCTAGGAAACAACCAGGTGAGTTTATACTTGTTAGAATAAAACCAAACTGCAATCCAGAGAGGTGGTCAGAGATCACTCAAGATCAATGTATTATGTATGTGTAGAAGAATCACTACATTTTAAGTGTCAGGAAAAAAGTGTTTTGTTGAAATATTCGAGTTATGTTAGCTATGTGTTGATAAACTACCCTTAATGTACCTCCATCTGTAGCTTTACAATTTCACTTTGCTTTTCTTTCTCCTGCTGCTTCATTTTCTGTCTCATCTCCTCCAAAGCGCTTTCCTTTCTATCCAGAGCCTCTTTCAGTTCAACATCTTTAGACTCCACTTCAACAAAAAGCAAAATTGACAAAATGTAATACAACATCCAACTTTGTCTTGTACTGGCCCTAGACATCATATTGTCTTGCAAAAGACTGGTGCACAATATAGTCTAATTTTACTACAGCCATGGACAGGCCTGTTTACACTCACATTTTCTCTGCATGTCTTTTTCACAGTCGTCCATCTTCCTCTGGTGTTGCTCTCGCAAAGCTCTGATCTCTTTCTCCAGTCTTTGAATACAACATTTTCTTTCCTATATGAACAACAGAGCAAATGTTAGACAAAGTAATATAGTTTTTATATTTAAAAAGGACTGCATTTAACCCATTATGTTTGGGTTGATTCGTCTTACCTCCACTTGTGCTTCATTTTGTTTCTTCAGGTCAAGAACAGTACTTTTCAGCTTCTCATTTTCAACTATATGAAGGGAATGAGAAGCACACAAAACCATCTGGACCACACTGAAGGTATTGTGTTCTTTTATTTTACACAGCAGACTCGCTACATTATGTTAAAAAATGAGGGAACATAATTTTCAGTCATCTGGCAGGTAACTAGATCAGATATACTACCTCGAAGATCACACTGTTGTTGTAAGTTGTTCTGGAGGCCTTTGATAGTCCCCAGCATGCCATCTCTTTCTACAGATAAAGGTTTGGTATTGTAAGTACTGAAAGTAATAAAAAAGACAGCGTATGCATGAATATAAAATGACCTACCGTTATAAGTATTATCTACCACTAGAGGGTGACAAATACTATGACTTTCGGTTTAATGTACGCCACAGGTTCCCAGCGCTGCTACTGCGCATTTTAGTGTTTTCCCCCTGCTCTAACACTTAAGCTGCGTCCCAAACCACATACTACACCAATGAATGGACTTCTATTGCTGGTGTACAATTTTTTGACATACTATTTAGTATGGCAGCATGCGGTTTTGGACGCAACCTTAGTTCAAGATTAACTGCATCAGGTTAGGCGCAGGGAAAGTATTGTGCAGAGCAGGAGGTAACCTTACTAGAGCACCAGGCTTGGGAATCTCTGGTGTAACGTGCACTAATAAGGTCTGACTGTTTACAGTTGATTCTTTATAACTGTTACTAGAAATGTAATGTTACAGCTCTTTGTTATTTAAGTTTTCAATGTTACCCTATTATAGGTACGTATGTGTTAAGAAGAATCCATTAGTGGAATAAAATGAATGGCAGCGTTGGAAAAATGCAGACACTGAGCCGCTAGCCAACAGCAATACACAACAGGCTAGCTAGCTACTAACGTAAATAAATACTCACCTTCAGTCAAGTGCTTTTCCTTGTTCTGCGAAAACTTCAACAGCCTATTGGTTTCATCTAATTTTATTTCAAGGATGTTGTTTTTCCCTTTCAGCTCCGTTATTTTCTTGTGAACACACAAAAAATTCGTATTAGCTAACTTTACTTCAGGTAACGTCATGGTGTTCAGTTCGGCTAACGCTGTATCTAGTAACATTTATGTCTCCTGTTAAGTGTTACTCTAGTTACAGGTGTTGGTGTTGTATGTGATATACTTGCTCCAGAAGGCTAAAATCCTGAATAAGTTTATTCAGGTTCACGGCTGTTTTCTTCATTTTCTGACTGAAAGTAAACTCCTTTTGAGTTAGCTAGCCAACGTTAGCTAGCTAACCTAGCAACTAAAGGGGCAGGCGCGTGCTGTTGTCTCCTAGGTGATCATAAGAATAGTGGCGGTAACGATAGGAGAAAAGACAAAACGCGTGTTTCTTATTTGTTGATATTTTATTATTCAAAAATATATATTTATGTACATTGCAGCAAGTCACGTACAGAGACATGTCACTTCCTCCATCAGTGTAGAGAAGATAAAGATACAATGATGTCCCAAAGCCTATCAATATATGCTGTTATAGGCCTAAACAATGTCATAAATGTCAACCCACCATAAACTTAACTCAAGCATCTCCACTTCCATGGATATTAGTTAAGGCTTACTCTTGACAACAATATAGTGTTAAATTGTAAACACAGATGCAGTAACACAAACCTTGTAATAATTCATTAGTCCAAAAAGGAATTTAGGAATTAAATACAGAATTACACAAAGAAAAGTTCTTGCTAAGGCAGATTTTTCCCATACAAATAAGTAGGCACAGAATTCCATGTCAGAGTCAGGTATCAGCTGTATGTTTACCATGTGGTAAACAATAATAAAAAAATATGCAATATCTACAAAATTAAACTCAGAAAATGAGTCTTTAGAATTCCATCTAAACAGGTGCATCACATTTTCAGGTTCAGCTTGCCAAGATGTTTGAATAAGACCATTCTGCATGAGAAATCTGCTCGGCTCCCACATGAGGACTTTTTTTGACTTTTGAAAGACAAACATCTTGTTTGGTGTTGGCCAACACTGTTCTACATGCCCAACAACAAATGCATCCATGCGCCAAAACCGATCCCGGGCTATTCTAGGCACAGACATCTTTCATTTATTGTGGACTAATGCTTTGTAGTAGGTCGGGTGTCAGATATCCCCCAGGAGTTGGAAAAGATTTCACAACAGCAAAGGGATGGGGTGCAGGGTTGTTTGGTTTCAAAAGAAGACTGTTTTTCCAGTCAACACCATCAACCATGGTGTATTCCGGAGGGGTTGGTATGGTAAGGATAGGAAAAGGAGAAGCAACTGGTGTTACCTCTGGTTCCACAGTGGGGTTCAGGTACTCTTGTAACGGACTGTGTCTTTGCTCTGCAGAAGGGTGTAGCTCTTCTTTGGTTGAACTTGGCTCACTGTGTCCTCCTGCAGGGTTTTGTGCACTGATTTTACAGGTGTTCAACTCTGAAGTGTAACCTCTTTCTTCAGAGAAAACCACCAACTGGGGCTTCTTCCCTTTATCATTCTCCTCATTCTTTTGAGCTTTATCTTGGATACTGCAGCTGTCACTTTGATTCTGTTTCTCTGGGGACAGTACTGCCTCGCCACGTGGGGTGACATCAGTCACCTGAGAATAGAGGCTGGTTGGCCAAGCAGGTTCCTGTGGAGCTCCTGGATTAACAGGAGACAAGGTGTGAAAACCATCATGGCCACTGGTGGAGGGCTGATGAACATCTGTATGGTCGTGATCAGATAGATCAGGGTCGCAGCAGCTGGCACGACCTGAGTCATCATCCCGGAAACCACTTGACATGGGAGGGGAGTCGGAGACAGGAGAATCGCCAATGAGAAGTGGTGTCTCAAAGCCTTCCAGTGTCTCAATTGGTTCATCGATGTCCACCTCTATAAACTCCACCCATGAGTCATTACTGTATAACTCTGGTCGCAGGCCTGGGTGGGTGCCCAAGATTGAGGTGAACTCAGTCAGCTGACCCTTCTTTTTAAACACAAAAAAATGGAAAATATAATTTTAGGACAAGTTGACCTCATGGGCCAAAACAATTTCTAGGTGTGAATACAAGCAGGATAAACAACATGGAATCAATACCTGTAGGAGGACTGGGTCAATTCCTTTGATTTTCGGTCCAGGAACAGGAGGCAAGAAAATCACCATGAGTCTGAAACAAGCAGAAGAGAAAATGCTATCTTAAAAACAGATACTCAGATCCACACAATGTTAATTCTGAAGACCAGCTGTTCTGCAAGTATCCAATAACCTTTTGCAGCAGTATTGGAAGATGTACGATTCACAAATGTGTTGTGTTATAAAACAAAATAAGAAAAAAGATGCACTGTTTGTCCAAAGGTTTGAGGACACCCACTCATGCAACAAGGGTATTAAAAGGGAGTTTCTGAAGGCTTTATGTTGGAACATTGCTGTGAGGATTTGATTGCATTCAGCCACAACAGCATCAGTGAGGACAGGTACGGATGTTGGACGATAAGTTCTGAATCACAAATGGCACTCCAATTCATCTCAAAAAGTATTGGATAATGTACCATCACTTCAGAAAACGCAGTTCCACTGCTCCACAGCCAATGCTGAGAAGCTTTATACCTATTTCGATCCATTCTATTGGCATATCTTTTCTATAGATACTATTAAAACTGTGTGGACACAATTGAATACCTGTGTCTGCAAAGGGTGCACCTCAAAGTGACTGAATTCACTAATTAGAAAGGGTGTCTGGTTCCTTTTGGACATACAGTGTCCAACTGAATAAAGGTGTGAATATACTAATCAGCTTTTTCTTGGATGAATAGTCATATGGTGGACACTGACAAAGTAGTCACTTACTTCTGCTGACGTGAGACCACAATCAGCATCAAGATGATTCCAATACCAACAACAGCAAAAATGAACATTGCAGTTAAGGGGACTCTTGGTTCTAAAATAAAGGAAAAAAGATAATTCCAGGTTTATTTAAATTTGTACACCATTCTATATTATTTTTAGCAATACATTTAGCCTAAACTCAGACCTTTGCTGTCAACCAGTATGAAGATGGAGTCACTGAATTCCCCAAAGTTGTAGCCTCGCATTTTGGACCTCACCCTGACCTCATACTCTGTGCTGGTGTTAAGGCCATAGATGTACGCTTTGGTCTCCTTCCCATTGTCTAGCTGGAAGAGGAAGAACAAAACCAGAATAATGAATTGAAACATGTATACTTGGACCGACAGAAGAGGAACAACTTAAGGCTTTCATTAAATGAAATCATACCTAAACAGTCAAGCTAGTACAATTAATTCATTTGCTCACTTACATAAGGTTTTTATGTACTTTGTCGAATTCACATACATTTTCACTAAAATTTTGTCATTTTTTATTGTCTGTGGACCACATAGCTCACTTTTTAAAATAAGCTTTTTAAAAACTATCAAATGACCCACTTCTGTAAATGGGTAATGAATGAGGTCCTGTTTTGTTTTTCCTACAAATTCCAAGATTATTTGCTTTAACCAAATTCATGGTTCAGGCTCAAATGTTCAAGTGCAGGTTTAGCTTTTTACTTATCAACAGTAAAGACAGATCATGAGCAGTTTAAGTTTACAGCTATCAGAAGACTCAAATTATATAGTTTCATGATATTCATGCTATGCTGTAGTCATCTATGCAAACTTATTTGACGTATCATATTAGTTAACCATTTAGAACACACTAAAAATAAACTGCATTCAACAGAATTAGAGACTAGTGACTGCTTCAGTGGATTCAGCAAAAGTAACAGTAGTGTCAGACTCACAGATTTCCACTGCTCTGAGCCCTTCTCTCTATACTGCGTCTCGTACCGAAGCGACATCCATCCAATCTTCACGTTGTCTGCTGCTGAGGTTGGTGGCTCCCAGCTCACTACCGCATCATAAAGTAAGCCTGTTGGGCCCATGCTTAATAAAGTCCAGTTCAGCCCTTCAGGTGGGTCTGGAAATACTACAAAAAAACAAGCAGCGTGTAGTGAGCATAGCACTTCACACTGTGCAAGACTCGATGGCTAAGAGCTAGGGCACCACCTGCTGGACAAAAACTTCGGCTGCCTTAAAACTACTTCGTCAGATAAAAACGCATATCATAGTAAACTGGAAAATGAAACATTTTTATAATAAAATAGTATGTAAATGTAATTAGTTTAAAATGTAGCAAAAACAGCCTGTTTCGAATTGTTTATGTGATGTTATGAAAAACAATGCATTTAAATATATTCAGCCTATGACAAATTAGCCCCACCCATTCACTGAAGTTATGAAGAGTGTTTACAACTGCTCTTTAAATGAGGAATAACAATTTTGATAAATGTCTTCACATGTTAATTGCATAATAGAAAAAAAACAGCCTGCTTTTATTCCAAGTGTTAAAAAATGTTCATGTAAAAATGAATTAAGAGTACAATGAGTTGTGACTGATAAGTGGAAAAAAATACAATGCAAGAAAAAAGTGTAATATAGGCCTTTTAACAAACAAAATCTAGCTTTTTAATGTTGGTAGATAGAGTGGCAAAATATTTAGATATTTTCCTGGCTTTAAAAAAACCTCAATAAAGAAATCCAAAAACACACCTCCTGTAAAAAGCATTATTAAGACAGAAAAGTTCAGTGACACTATTCACAATGCTTCAGAGTGATCCTGCTTATATTAATTACAAACTAGTGTAATAATATTATCTTCTACTACTGGAGTAGTATATTTTAACTGAGATTCGACCTAAACACATACAGATACCTACAGTTGGGCTATGCTCACCAATATCTTCCACACTGAAGAACATTTCATCGTAGACAACATCTTGTGTCCGTGAACGCAGCTGAATGGCGTAAGTGTACCAGATAACAGTGTGGACAACATCGAAGTAGCACTCGTTTTCTATTATGGTACTGTAACTTGGACACTCGCTCCATTTACCTTCATCTTTTTTCGAATCCCTGCATGACAGAGAGAACCACACAGTTATAAACAAACATCCATGCATCAAGATAAAGACAAGTTATCACAGATTTGATCACACAGGCCACATTTATTCCATTTCAACAATGCTAATGAGATAAATAATGGTTAATATGTTTTTCCTTTGGGAAAAGTAAAGTAAAAATCTAATTTAAAGTAATGAATTAAATTTGCAGTGATTCAATTTGATGGTGTGGTACAATATGCAGCTCTGACTCGCACAAGAAAATGCATTAAATCGTTACAAGGTAAATAATTCGGCATTTAGGCACTGCCATTACTTCTCCAACATGTAGAAAAGTCTGAGATCCCCCGGCTCAGTGAGGTTTTGGAAGGAACCAGCATTCCATTGACAACGGAATGTCATCAGCTCTCTGGAAAAGCAGCCAGTCAGACGAGGTCCGGAGGTGCTCCGTGCTGTAGAAAAATAACTAACTGTCACTACAGTGGACTTACTAAATGGACAAGGGCTGAAGTCCAGCACAGTTTGGTGATTTCCCTTTAGTAATTGACTACACACTGACAATTAACTAATCAGTTGAATCAAGTGTTTTAGAGAAATCACCAGACTATGCCTGACTGGCCTTCTGTTCAGGCCAGTTTTTGCTTCTTCTTAAGGGCAAGACATGCTTCAATTATGGCATAGAAATGTCACTGTCACACTTGATATTTCATATTTCAGTAACATGATAACACAAACAAAACTGACGTTTTGCCTGGATACTCTTTCATAGATTTTCATCACTTGGTTTATTAATACTTTTTAACCTTTTTAATGTACCCAAGATATTATGTCAGGACAAAATCTCGTATCTCCAAAATGGTAACTTTACAGCTGAAAGCAAAAAAAATACTTTTTAACTTTAACTATACACTAAAAGTATGGCCAAAAGTATGTGGACACCACTACTAATTACTGAGTTCTGGTGATTCAGCCACACCCATTGCTGACGGGTGTCTAAAAGCAAGGACATAGCCATGCGATCTCCATAGACAAACGCTGGCAGGAGACTGGATCGTACTGTGGCACTGTCATAGTATGCCACCTTATAACTGTGAAATTAAAAGCGTCTAGGAGCAACAACAGCTCAGCCACAAAGCGGCAGACCACACAAACTTGCAGACTGGGGCTGCTGGGTACTGAAGTTTGTAGCGTATCAAACTCACCTATCCTGTTACATTTTCTGACTACAGAATTCTTAACTGCCCCTGGAAGCAACAACAGCACAATATCTATGAAATGGGGTTACATGGCTGGGCAGCCATACACAAGTCTAATATCACTATGTGCAATGCCAAGCGTCGGCTGGAGAGGTGCAATGTATGCTGTCACTGGACTCTGAAGCAGTAGAAACGCTCTCTGGAGTGATCAGTCATGATTCACTATGTGGCAGAGTGGTGGACAAATATGGGTTTGGCAGACGCCAGCAGACCCTACCTACCAGAAAGCACAGTGCCAACAATAAAGTTTGGTGGCGGAGGGACAATGATCTGGGTCTTTTTTTAGGGTTTGGGCACAGCCCCTAGTTCCAGTGAAGAATAATGTTAAGACGTGTTTAGACAATCATATGCTTCCGACTTCGTGGCAACAGTTTGGGAAGGACCCTTTCCTGTTCCAGCATGCCCGTGCCCCTGTGCACAAAACGAGGATCATAACTAAATGGATTGATGAGAGCCCTGACATCAACCCCACTGAACAACTTTGGGATGAACTGGTTTGTTGATTGCAAGCCAGGCGCTCTTGTCCAACTTCAGTGCCTGACCTCACAAATGCTCTTGTGACTGAATGGGCACAAGTTCCCACAGACACTCTTCAAAATCTTGTGGAAAGCTTTGGTGGTGGCTGTACTTGCTGCAAAGGGGGAGGGAACTGCACATGGTTTTGGAATGGGATGTCCTACAAGCTTGTATAGTGTGATGGTCAGGTGTCCACATACTTTTGCACAGAACGAAAGTACTCATTACTGGTCCAGCTACAAATGCGTATTGTTTAACATAATGCTAACATATTCATATATATATATATATATATATATATATATATATATATATATATATATATATATTACATTAAACATATCACTACTGACAGAACAAAACCTGACAAGTCAAATGTTTTTACATAGATTGAAAAGACCAGCAAGCTTTTGCATTATGTGAACATTCATGATGAACTTACCAATTACTTGGAATAAGTAACTACTACATTAACTTACACTGTATGGTGAAGTGTTCAGCAAATGACAGATGACAAATTTATTAGGTGTTGAAAATGCTATATAAGCAGACCTGGATAAAAACTACTATTCTATTTGTAGGCTCGGATGGCACAATCTTAACCAAGTTTTCAGAAACCAGAAGATGTCCTTTACTCTGATTTCCACTGTAGGACTAAGAGGAAGTAACATAAAGCCTACTTGTACCGTAGCCTGTGAGGCAACTGGTTATGGTTTCCTGGAAAGGCTTGCTGGCATGTTTCACATGTAAGAAGAGCATCTGAGTGGCAGTGTGGGGTTTCTGCCAGAGCTTTCTCAGAAAACCCTACCCTGAACCGCCTATTATTTTAGGTCTTTACTTAAGCAGGCAAGTCAATATAAATCCATGCAACTCAAATCAATCATGATTCATTTTATTACATTTGTTATGACTCTTCTATTAAACACGGCAAACATGTACATAACAATGTTCTGTTTGTATACTACACCAAATCAAAGGTTTGGAGCTTGTTTCTCTGGAAGATGTCAGTTATAAAGGCACACGTTTATAACCTGGAAATCAAGAAGAGCAGCTGTGGCTTCAATTCCAAATGAATAACTGTCTAACAAAGCTATCCAGTAGAAAAGGTAGACCAGGGAATAAATGCAGAATTGGGAGCAGGGTGTCAGCATGCAGCAAGCAGTAGCCTGATTTTGGCAGAGAACCAAAATATTAATATCCTGTTTATCAACTTTCAAACCTCAATTCCTCAATTATACCTACAGGGCACAGATTAAGCAGATACAGATAAGCTTTACTGTCACTGATACGTTTATATTATACCACAAAAGTGAGTGCCATTTCAAGCTAATTTTGTCCTCTTTTATGTTTTTTCTCTTTTATTTTTAAACTGGAATGATCACATACGGTATTACAGTGAGTACCACCAATTGATATCACATCAATATATCCATCCATGTTCAATTCACTGCAACAATCAGATTAGTGTATCAAACTAATAATCAGTGTCACTCTCATCTGGTCCGGACATTTGCAGGAATGGTATTGTCATACAATACTACTAATACTAATCAGAGACCACCCTTTTTATTTAATATCTAGTCAAAATAGCCAGGAAAGGGGAATTCCACTAATTTGTCAAAATTTCTGTATAATTACATGGTTAAGATGTAAACAAAGTCATTCAAGTTTGATGTGAAATGCTCCATTCTGGAGAAGCTTACTGAGTAAGAATTGTTCACAGTAGTCTGAAGAGTTTAATGGAGCTAAATTTTTCCTTACAGAAAGCTGTTACATGAAATCGTTATGAATACTTTGCCAAATGCCTGAGACATAGGTTTACGTCTGTATTCAGAGAAGGTTTTGGCCTAAAATATCTTTTTAAAAATACATTCATGGTGGTGAGCTGCATAGAGGATGTTGTAAGGCAAAACAGTAAGCAAAGAAAACTTTTTTTCTTCTCTGATTTACCACTATTTTATTTACCACTATTTTATCATTATCAATTCCACAAAAAAGCTTTTTTAAAAAAAAGACGTGTAGCTTCACAGTTTATTCTGGATAGTAAATTAAATTACTATATTTGTGTGTAGACATCTCGACCCCTGGTTCCTTTCACCACAACTGTAAAGAAATCTGAGTTGGTAAATTTCTCTAGAAAGGAGCATTTCACTCTGAAAGACTTTTTTGCATCTCAAAGATGTGAATTATGCAGAAATTCTGAAAAATCAAGTAATCCAGTTTTCTGCTTAAGGAAAAATGAAATTTAACAGAAAAATACACAGAAGCCTCAATGACTAACTATTGTATCATATTTTTTTAGTATTTATTTTCAGAAAAAAAAATCCTTTTAATGCAAGTTCCTTCACCTCCAGCATCAGGAAAAAGTGGAAAACTTGCATTTTACAAAAAATGACACTGAAGCCTCATCAGTATTGCAGTATTTTCAGTATTTAGTGACCACCCTTTGCTTTTATTATAGCTTCCATTCTTTTCAGGAGACTTTCCTTCAGCTTTTGAAAGAAATCTGCAGGGATGTTTTTCCACACCTCCAAAATTCAGTTGCATTTTCTGCTTCTTACAATCATTCAAAAAACGATAAAAGTACTGTTAATCTGATGATGACAGTTCTAGTGATCTACAAGGTCTTGCACGCTTGTATTGTTTGATACGTTTTTTGAACTCTATTTTTGGAAACTCCTGTTTCACTTATTTTTTTTTTTACTTTTCCCTTCTTTATGAAAGTAGATTATTATTAGTGGATCTAATCTCCTCAGAAATATCTTCTTTAGCTATTTTAGATGCACTTGAGAGACAAATTTGTAAGGCAGGTAAGGTGAGTTTGGGTAGTTATTAGTGTGAATGTTAGTGTCTCTTTGAAGGGGAACATAATGTCAGTGGCTCCTTTGGAAGCAGCTTTTTTTGGGAGGCCACAGCTGTAACTCATTGTTTTTAATATCGCAAGGATGAAAGAGTTAAAGTGGCTGTAGGGTGCACTAATGTAAAGACAAATTAAATACTTATAGATTTGATATTATAACTAATGTTGGAGGCTTTTATGTTAACCATGTTTCCTGATTTTTTTCCTGTTTACTAAAACATATGGATTTTTTTTAACACAACACATTAAAAACAGGTTCAGTTTTGGTTCACTTGTTTTTTTTTTGTTTTTTTTTTCTAAACTAGCCAGTACAACATTATTCAGGTAGTTTGATGTTTTTGGCCTACATGTGCACAGCCTCCATTCACAGAGGAAATGGTAAATTAAATTTCACATTACAGCAAGGTTGAGCTTTCATTTCATATGGCAACATGCTCTCTCTCTCCCTCTTTCCCTCTGTCTCTCTATTCAATTCCTCCTCTCTGCCTCTATCTACTGCTCTCCATCACTGAATTCATAATGATCATCCATGTTCAAAAGCACAGATAATTTTATGGACCATTACCTGCATCCAAGAGTAACAGCTAATGCAGGGGAGTGTATGTTTTTCAATATGAAGCAACCTGCAAATCTCTAAATAACGTCAACAGCAATGCTGAGAGATGTACTTTAAAGACTACATGTGGTTTTAGCATCTTACAGATCAAAGCTCAACAGCAACTCTTTCTAATCAGCTAAAGCTCAGTTCAAAGTTCAAAATATGCAAACAAAAGGATCTGAAAGTTAAATAAAGAGATTCATAGCCAAACAAATTTAAAGCAATGGTTTAGGGAAAGATCAAATTGCACTGGAGCTACCAGGCTGATATACGTACAATACTGTCACAAAGTTAAAAACTGCCCTTCATTTATTTAGATTTCTGATTAAATGTCTTTTAAGCGCAAGTTCTTTTGTTTTCCAGCATCAGAAAAAAGCGGAAAATATATATTTAACAGAAAATGACACAGAAACCACAAAAGCATTGTAGTATTTTCAGTATTTAGTCACCACACTTTGACATTATTACTGCTTTTATCCTTTTTGGGAGACTTGCATTCAGTTTTTTTCACAGAAATCTGCAGGGATATTTTTCCACACCTACAAAGTTCAGTCTTAGAAGTTGGTTGTATTTTCTTTTCTCTCACGATCCAAGTAATCCCAAACACATTCAATAATGTTGCGGTCTTGACTCTGGGATGGTCAGTCCATTGTTCTGATAATACCAGCAGCTTCTTTGGTTTATTTACAAATTTTCTTGCTTTTTTCCTACTTCTTTTCTCAGTAATGGCTTCTTGGCAGCTACAAATGCTTTCAGACTCTTAAGATTAAGTTGTCTTCCCACAGTGGAAAAAAGGACAGAAACACCTGTGGATTTGTTAAGATCTGAAGTAAGAGTGGAGCTTGATTTTCTCCTCTTTCTCAAAGATGAAAGCTTTAAGTACTGTTTATCTGATGGGCACAGTTTTGGTGGTTTACCAGGTCATGGACAGTTGTTAGGAGTCCCATTTTCTCTGTATCTTTTAATAATGTTTTAAATTACAGTTTTGGATATTTTGTTTTTTCACTTATTTTTCTTTACCTTTCTCCTTCCTTATGCAAGTGGATTATCTTATATATAATCTCATAAGAAATATGTCCTGAAAATGAATAGCTTGCACTTAATGGCAGTTTTGACTGGAAAGTAAATAAATGAAGGGTGGTCTCTGACTTTTGCACAGTGCTGTATAGAGTAATGGGAGTCGGTCACCTAATACCCTGTCTGGTGACATAGACTTCTATTTATTACTGTAGGCTTGTAGCTCCATTGCAAAAGAATCAAACTTCAGACACCAAATATGTTGTGCTCTATTGCCTAAACGTTTGGAAAACATTTGTAAAATATTGTAAAATATACGCCTTCGTCCTGCAGAGTTTTCCTGCACTGTTCTATTTTAGACAAGGCCCAGCCTGAGTAGTTGCCTCCTTGGTATATTTAATGGTACAAAATGATTGCATGTAGTTTTGTTTAAAGCAGACTATATTTACTACACTTGAGGGCAGTTGTCAAATAAATAAATAAATAAATCAAAGCACTGAATTATACATTGTTAAGGAGCTTTTGTATGACATCATCTGAACATGCTGAGAGGCCCTTGAGAGGGAATGCAAATTCTTGTAGAGGCGCTGGCTTTTCAGAGCTTCTGCAACGGGCAAAGAAACTCTCTTAATACCACTAATGACTGCTCCTCTGGGTCCAGAAGGAGTTTCCCAATGAAAACATCCTGTTTCTTGTGGCAGTGCTCTAAACCACAGCATACTCTCTATGACCTTTGTTGTGGTATATGTGTAAAACTAACAACAGAGTGAGCCAATTTTAAAGCAAAGACCTCTCCCCTTTAAACTAATTTAAATAAAAAAAACACTGTACCTTGTATTGTGGGTTTCAGGTCTTCTGTGGTGACAGCAGCAATAAGGAAGAGACAGATGAAGAAGGACTGATCGGTCCCCATGGCACAAACCCTGAACAAACAACGTTAACAGATTAATATTTAACAACTAGAAATGTTCTAAACTCGTCAAATTTATATCACTTTCTATCACTGTTATCATGTACTGTTATCAATACTAGCCAACAATATTACTACTATCATATTACTACTAACATGACTAGGGGTGGGAATCTCTAGGCACCTCACAATTCGATTACGATTCAGAGGGCTGCGATGCGATTATAAAACGATTATTGATGCATCTTGATGCATCTTTTTTTTCTATATAGCATTTATATTTTCTCACTGTGTGAGCTCAAGTTTCGAGTTCAAGTTTCAAGTTTATTTGTCATTTGCACAACATGTCAGGACATTTATGCATTGAAATGCTTGTGGTGAGGCTCAGCTAATCACTCTACAGAAAGTAAGTAAAAATAAAAATACAAGAAAAGCCAACTGAAATATTAAATATACACAAAATATACACAAAATATACACAGAATATAGAGACAATATACATTTTAAAGTGACTAAGTAACTCAGTGTTATTGTTATTTAAAGTGACTTGGTACTTTTAAAGCATTAAAGTATTTGTAATGATCCATAATGAATTTACTTCCAATATCTTTTTTAATAAAACAAATGGAAGTGATATGGCAAGTGAACTAGAAGGCTCTCATTCAGTGCTCTTGTTTGGAGCACGAGAAGCTGCTGCTACTCATCTGCGATAAAATGCGCAGTTACGGTGAAATAAGATCCAGTGGCAGTGCATGTCCACGCAGCACATGTTACAGCTATTCTACCCGTTTTCTTTAGTGATTTTATAACTTCGGTTCAGTAAAGTATCTTTGAGACGGGACGTGTGAAACATAGCGCGTGTGAAACATAGCCCTGTTTCGGCGCGCAGACTGCAGGTCACATAGCAGCGATGCGTTATTCGCATGTATAAGCAGTGCAGCCGGTTTCCTGGTACGTTAAATCTGCAACGAGAGACTGTCACACACTAAAAAGTGGCGAAGCTCAAGTCAGCTTCTCTTCCGAATTCTCCCGTTCCACCTTAAATGGTGCCGCATTTACATTCGGCGCCTCAGTTAGAATTTAAGGTGGAACAGATAAATTTGAACAAGAAGCTTGAGAATAAGAAGCGACTTCAGCCTCGTAAAACAGCCGAACGTTGAGAGACATTTAACTGATCTACTTCTGAGGAAAAGTTTTCTGGCGGAGATGGGAGGAAAGCGGCTATAGCTAAAGCTTAAAGCAGAACGAATAAATCTGCGCTCTCGTTTATATTGTTTAGCCTATACTAGGACATTAACACATACTGAGACATACTGGACATTAAATGTTGTGGCTCCCAAGGTGGTTTGATTTTTGTTGAAAGGACAAAATGGCTCTTCTTGTCATTTGGGTTGCGACTCCTGACCTAACCTGGCAGAGGGCGCCGGTCAGATTTTTCGCTCATCTAGCTGTGTTTTTGTTATGTGCCGCCACAGACTGTCCGGGCGCTGCACGTCCGCACTTCCAAGTTCCGCCTTTTGCGTTCCGTCAACATTACGTTATAAATTAAATATTTAGAAAATCGATTTTTGACATTTGTAAATCGATTCAGAATCGTTCACGTCCGCATCGCGATGCATCTAAGAATCGATTTTTTCCCGCACCCCTAATCATGACTATCATTATTACTCAACAATACAAACAAGTTGTTAGAGCTTTAAAAGACAGGCCTTTATTAAAATTAGGAATGTACACAACATCAAAATCGATCAGTACTGGCAGATAACTGCTTAAAGTGTCTGTACTGGACAGATATTTAAATGTGACTGATATTTTAAACCAATAAGATTTATTTACTGCGCTTAGTTGGCATAGAAGAACATTTAGGTAATGCAGAGCTGCATATTGTTTATTTCACTGCATTTGTAACCCTATAGTAGTAAAAGTTATATTTCTCCATAATGTTTATTCAGATAGATGTGGTCCCAAGTTCTAGTTTTATGAGTGAAATATTTTGTTCCAAAGCACATTATAGACCACTTTCAGGAATCTTTTTTTTATGACACATGTTGTTGGTAGTGGGCTTTGCAGATACAAGAAATATCAATACTACAATTATGATTAATATCACCTTTATTAGATCAATGAAAATGTATTTTCCATTATACAGCTGTTATTCTTGTTAAAAACTCAATATATCCAAAAATTTACCAAATGGATAAAAAACTTAAATGTTCATGTCTCGGCATTGGTGTCAATATCAGAGGATATGTACATGAAAAGTACTGAATCTTGGCATCACCTCACAATTCCCATATCGATGCATCTCGTCACTTTATTCTATTTAAAGCATAATCTGAAATTGTCATACATTTTCTATTATAGTCCACAGTTAAATCTAACAAATACTTGGCCCAAAAGACAAGAACGAACAAAAACGCTGATGTACTTTCTGAAGTAACCGACATCTTTGGTTTGCATTTATCTGTAAACAATTTCTATTTGTTTTTATAGCATGTGAAGGACCATCATTTGTCATACTAATGGTATAACAACCCTGTCCAGAGCTTGTGAAATATATCCCCTCTGTTTCCTGGCCATGCTCCAGTTCTTCAGTGCTACTGGAAACTGCATTCTCAGAATCAGCATCTCAAAACTGCACCTATTCCCTCTGCACTAATAAGGCGAAACTCAGCTTCTCGGACATGCCATCTGTTCTAACAGCCACAGTTTACTATAAGGAGAATGTTTATAAATGTTTAATTGTCAGTGATATTCACATGCAGCCATTAAACTTCCTCTCAAATATACAAATATGTTTTTTCAATTAAAGTGTTTGGAACTGCACTGATAGATAAAAGTTAACATCCTACACCACTTTTCATAGCCATATGACACATATATCCTAGCAGACCTTCAAAGAGAGGATGTTATCTAGGAAAAAAAACAGTGAAGATTAGCTTTTAATGTTTACATGTACTCAAGATAAGGAGACACTTTAGCTAACATGTATTATTATAGTCCTTGAAGGCATTCAATCCCCTTTTAATAGTGGGTTGGAATGCCTTCAAGGACTATGATAGATAGTCTGAGTTGTAAACAGCTCTTATGCCCCAGACAACAGCTATACAGAAAGAAGAAAGTCATAACTTTCCCACCACAAAGGTCTGTTTAAGTCTCTTTCAGTCATAATAATAATAATAATAATTATGTTCTTCTAGTGTTATCTTACATTCTGGTTAAGGTCAGCCCAAATATGCCTGTTATCTTGGAGCAAGATTGTGCAATAGAAACTAATATGGATCTCAATGCCACTCAGTCCTTCAACACTTGACAGTTTCCCTAGCTCACAAAATGAAAGAAAAAAATCCAAATTAAATATGATTTTAAGGCATATCTGTTATTTGCCATTAGCCTGAGCTGACCCAGTGCACTGAGCATCACAGTCACAGCTTACAATGTTGTGCTGAACGTGACAACTGCTGCTATTTGGGTTAACCAAGTTCTGTCTTAACCAAACATGGGGGAAACAATTATCTGGCTGAATAACAGGCTGGGAGTGCCCACAAGTTACATAGCCTCCAATCAACAGTGTGAAAAAACAGTTTCGCAACACCATGTTTTTCAGGGACCCTCCACTGCCACTGCAAATTCAACACTCACCTCTGATAAGAATATGCTTCAAAACACCTGATAAGACAGAGCTTTCAGTTCCTGAACTTGGACGCTTATTCCTTGGGGCAAGCAAAACCGCATAGGCAATCACATTACACAGTCTTCGGTGGGATCTGCGTGTAGCTCTGATTCCTCGACAGCTTCTGTCTAGGACTCCAGCAGCAGCGCTAAAGCAGCTAAACCAGCATCGAGCCAAAACACATTCGGTGACTCAGAAAGCTTCTCACACAAACAGCACGCTCAGACACTCAAACAGGCGACGCGGTGCGTTGGGAGCACCAGGCATTTTCACATTCGTCCACTGAAGGAGGAGGAGAAGGAGGAGGAGTCTGCAGCCCTGCCGTCGCAGCACTGCTCCCTGTTTTCCACGCTTCCAGTGGCCTCGCGAAGTCGTGCCCAGTGCTCCACGTGATTTGCGTTAATTCTTTCGTATATTTCGTTTTCCCATTTGGCTGAATAAGCACGCACAGCTGCAGCAGGGGTGATGAATCGACTGCTTGTTTATCGTGACGGGAAGCATTAGGCTACTGACTTTCTGAAGGAAAAGATCGATTAATGCACAAACAGCTGTTTGGCATGTGGTTTAAACATGCAAAGCAAGCTTACTTCGTGTTTATGGCTATTTTTGCGGATTAACTAAGAAGGGCTGATTGCCTGGGCCTGTTTGGGATGCACTGCTTGCCCTCTCCCCCAGTCCTACAGGCACTTCGGAACAGCAGGAGCTGCTGTACACGTGACGCAGCAAGCACACGTGCGAAAGGGGTATAGAGTGGTGGACAGGGAGAAGGGAAAGGTTTAGTGTGCATTATATACTTAAATGTTATTTGACTAAAATACAAAAGAAGTAAGTTTACATGAACAAAAGTAATGCTTTATCAGCTTATAGCTTGCAAATCACAATATCAACCTTTTCCATGTTTTACATGACAGAGTACAGATTGTTAAGACATGTTAGTTGCTAAACCTGCTCCCAGCATTGGGTGCATCTTACATTTAAAGCAGGGAGGGGACAAACTATATTGAGGCCAGAGGTATTTCACCAAAACCAAAACACTTTAAACACATTCCATACTGTTCTACACCACTTCAAGAGCTAGAATTAGCACACTGTTTATGTCAGTGAAATGCCTGGGTTTCATCAGCGAGTAGGGCTGGGCGATAAAACGATAACGATAAGTATCGCGATATAACTTTTCCTCGATAGAGCGATAAGACAGGTTCGATATATTTTCGATATAATACACCATTCATTCTCACACTTCCACGTTTTAGCGAAAGCCCCGGTGGCGTTTCCTACTGCAAGGAAAGCGACACTACTCTGCTGTCGCCAGGAGAGGGTGCACTTCCAAATTTTTCGACTTGATTAGAGAGAGAGGAGGCTACGAGTAAAAAAAAGGGTCGCCAAATATACTTTAGCAACATCTGAAACGCGGAGTTATACATTGCCTGTTTGAGTGGAGCGACCGGCGATCTGTTCTCCCGTGACCAAGTGCGAGTGACGAGATAAGTGACGTAACTGTACTGTCCTACGGTGAACACACCTCCTTCCATGCATCCTAACAACTTTAGCGGTGTTAAATCATGTCTGCAGCGCCGTGTTACAGCACCAAACCGTCATATTTTAGTATTAGTGCATTCTCGAGCAACGAAAGTGAAAGAAAGAAGTGGGTTAATGTGAGTTACAGCCCTGATTTAAACAAAAGTAAACTGAGGAAGCTGTGAGACATTGGGAAGCGGGAGAGCGCTAGGTTAGCTTTCCAGGCTAGCTGTTTTTAGCTGCTGGCTAGCGCTCCGGCACAACACAGTGAATTGATGATACGGTAGATCAAACAAGACACAAAATCACCGCTTTCAGTTTAAACATACCTAAAAGGAGGACTCTGTTTGACTGGTGTGAGAGATTCACACTGCAGATAATGCTTTTACACAGCGAACATCAGATATACTGCGGTTCACCCCTTAAACTACTACGATAGCATAGAGAAACCCAGTCGTCGCTAGCTGGTGTCTGAATACTGTGATATGCTCTGACATGGATGTGGTAGGAGTGACAGCAGTGACCTACTGAACCGAGTTGACATTGTTGAGAAACTAAAGAGTTTAGCTCTGTTGTTGGCCACTTGTTTAGCATTTGTAACAGGGTAGCCAAGTGCTCGTCACCAGACAGCTAAAAATAATCTGTTTTCTTTCTTAAATTATGACTATTACAAAAATTGCAGCTGTGCTTTTCCAGCTGATAAAAACAGCTCAGAAACTGTCTCCCACTGTCCCAAGACAGATTTGTGAAATGTTCCACTGTTTGGTGAGTGGTTGTCATGATCCGACCATAAATGATCGTTTAAAACCACAATTAACCACCCAGGAGCAAAATCAGCCTTCAAATGTGAAAGAAATAATGATTTGACATTTATCGCGATATGTATCGATATCGAACGATATGAATTTTGTTTATCGTGATAACGTTTTTGGCCATATCGCCCAGCTCTATCAGCGAGGCATGTAAATTAAGACTGTGTTTGAAATAGCAAACTGTGTACTGTACTGTAGCAGTGTAGTGCATGCCACTCTTCATAGTAACATCTGATATGCAACAGTTATCATTACGTACCTTCTACAAGGTCACCAGATGGTTGCATCCATGGACATGCCCTCTCGAAATGATCGTGTCACACAATGGGATGCAGTATGTCATGATGATAGCTCAGGCTGCCTCCTGGAATATTTGGCAAGATAGTACGTTATCCACATATCTGTAGAAATTCATCAAATACTGTAGACTGTGTACTACCTTTAGGCACAATCAGTACACAAGCAGTTTTTAGGAGGCTATTTTGATCACGGATACCAGCTAAATTCAGTAATGAGCTTAATATTAGAGCTTCCACTGAATCGCTTGCTAAAGGGTAGTCAGTGATTGCCAGAACATGTTTTGTAATATTTGGCAAATTTCTCCTTAGTTTACATCAGCTGTCAAAAAATGTTTAGAGGAAAAAGTCCTGTCTGTCCCAGGCTCTGTAAATGGGAGAAAGAAAATGGACTATCCAACATTCAACCAATCAGGACAAGGTAGTTTTTACTTGCCTGTCAACGACGCTGTCAATGACAACATGTAGCCTTAGCCTGGCCATTAGGGCTGTTTGATTCCAAAAATTTTGAAGTTGATTCTGATTCCAAGTGACGAATCCGAGTGACAATTTCAAAAACAGAGTACAATATTAAGCATTTTTGACCCTAGTCAGAAAATTTGGAGAGCTATTATTAACTTAGTCGACTAACAGGAGCTGGCTATGTTGTACCTGATTCTCCTCTGTCCTTCAGATGGGTACAGGCAACAGATGGGTAGATGTTTTGGTACTGGACATGTTATTTGATTGTATGTATTTCCTTTGAGTTCCACTTTGTCTAAAGTAAAACACAGCTGTGTGAGTTGTGGACCTTTACAAAAAAGTCATGAGTTTCACATGTTAAAAATGTATTATCACTTGTGAAAAAGTGTGTTCACATGTGAAAACATGTTGGGGTGAAAAAATATATGATCACGTGAGCATATGTTGACAAAAAAACTAGATGACTTGTAAAGCCATGTTTTTTTGCACACTTTTCGGTAAAGGGAAGGATGTTTTTTCGGACAGGCTCTGGTCTCAGGCTCTTCAGCAAAATTAAGATAAAAACAACACCAAAACTGCCAATTCTGCCACTACATACAACAGCTTACACTGCCAAAACTGAAAAGAAGATAACTGACCTAGATTGAAGTAAACACCATTGTATCTTTTCATCTTTGAGATAAGAGGCAGGAAGTGTGATGCAGACTTTGCTTTAAATATGCTAGACAGATCATTTGCACATTTCATTCAAATTGTTAGAACACTGTGGCAAAAACTGCGGTTTTATCATGGTGAAGTGTGTTCATAGGAACGAAGCTGAGTAGAAGAAAGTTTGGTTGCCCTTTGTAGTGTGGTCATTTCATGAACTTTCCATAACCTGGCACTACTTAATGCAAAAACCGTCGCTTTGTAAGTACTTTTTGGTCACCAAAATACCACCGTGAGTCTCGTTTCGCTCCAAGCTAACGGCGCTCCGCCCCCCACGCTGGGTCTCAATCTCAAATGGCTCCCTGCTCCCTAGCTACATAGTGCGCTACACAGGGATTTAAATACTGCCTCCTGCTTCCCAATAGTATATAATACAGCAAACAAATAGCCATTTCGGTTTTAGCCACATCCTTACTCGACAAATGGTGCATGATTTGGTGTAGAAGCTTGAAGCACTTAGCCGTTTGTGATTTAGCCTGGGTTTAACACTACTTACAGCGGATCTGACTGAAACACGGACATTTGAAGCGTGTAAACCACTCAAGTGACATTGTTCAGTCTTTTATACTGCCGTTTTACAGTGAATCATATCGTAAGTACTTTTAATTCAAGCCTGTGATATTAATGATTAAGTTGTTTAGCTAGCATGTAGGTTAGCTATATTATACCCTGTTAGCTTGCGGGTCAGCCTAGTTATAGGCTGAGAAAACAAGTTGTCAGACCCTCCGTTTAAACAGAAAATGGGTTCTTTCTTCATCAGTACACTCGGTGGTTCCTGCAAGCAACATAAGAGTCAAATATTATTCCATTAACGGTACAAGGTAATACAGAGTTCAGTTGTTGTGAACCGGTCATAGGTGTGTACATATCAGAGAACTTGCAGAGACGAGAATTACCACTGTAATGTCTTCCGGGTGTCTCAAACGCTAGGGGGCGCTCTCCAGCCAGTCCAAAATGAATGGTTTAAGATGGAGCATTTGAGGAAAATCATAAATGCTGAAACATTTTTAATGTAAAAGAATACATTAATTTTGTAAACACAGAACAGCAAAAAAAAAATTTTGAAGAGCTTTTGAACTCGAGTTATAGACGTTTAAAACGGTGCCTCATGTATGTTCATGACGTCAGTGAGCACGAACAGCCAATGAGCTGCTCCGCTCGCCAACCAGTCAGCGCTCAGTAAGTTAGCAGTAACGTTAGTGTCCTGCTGCCCAAAACCTGTTTGCTGTAGAAAAAATTAAACATACAGGTAGGTTTCTCTTGAGTTTTTACATTCGTCTACTTTCTAAAATTAAAGGAAAGTTCTGGGCAAGTGTTTAGAAACTATTTTAACTTTTTGTTTTTAGCCATTAAACTCCATTCATTGAGGACTCGCTTGCGGGAGCCCTCTGGTGTTTTGCTGTCATGTTTTTGATATAACGCTGATAATTGGTCAATTATTTGTATTAGGTGGTGTCTTGGTCTAGCAGTTCGATGGCATTGGCTCGTGTTTTTTATGTACGGCCTTAAATTTTCCCCTAGACATAGGAGGTCGTAACACAGGGGGAGTCCAGGCTCCTCATAAACCAGCTCTGCATACATAAAGCTTTGAACACGGCTCAGCCAATCAGATTTTAGGACCAGAAGTTTCTGTTTTGTAATGTTCTATTTTTCAATCTAAAACAGCTTCTCCTTGCACCAGAAATCCAATGCAGTGCCAGAGAACTTAAAGCCTTGCTAGTATAGCTGTATCTGTGTCGTTTTATTTGTGGCAGTCCATTATAGCTCAGTGAGCTCCAGCTTTCAGGTGCTCTAGCCTATGCAGAGCGCGTGCTTGTGCTTTGGTGGTGGGGCAAGAGTTTCAAAACAGCTAATGTTAGCTCAGGGCTTCCCAAAGTCAGTCTGATGGATGTCACACTGTGCACATTTTTGTGGTCTCCCTCATTTAGTAATTAGCAAGCCCTTTTGTGCTGGGCCAGATGAATTTCAGCTAGCCCCTATGAGGACTTCAATGTTATGTTAGCATCAGACTAACTGTGTTTAATATTTGCATTTCATTACGGTTCCCTACATTAAACATAGACATTCAAAGCTTATAACAGACATTAAAGTAACTTATTCTTTACTTTGGATGTTACAGTTTGGACATTTATTTCTTTGGAAGAGATTTAAAAAGTCAAAGCCTGTTTCTGAATATTATTTGAGCCTAGCTTTATAGTTATTGGAGCAAAGCTACATGCCCAACTTACTTTAGTGAGAACAGAATAGATGCAGTTACCCCACAGGAAACCTGTTAACATAAATAAAAGAGAGTCTGTTAAATCAGTCACTAACACAGTTTGTCATATGTGACATTACATCACTGTTTTTATACTGTAATGTCCTTCAGAGACTGTATGTGAAATGGTAGCTGTGATGGTGAAAGGATGAAGGCAGGGTGAGTGGCTGTGGTTATTTGGGTGCGGCAAGCAACAAATTATAACATCCTGTAGAATCATGCATCCTGTAAAATCATGCTTTCTGTAATAGGGAAATATACAAATCACCAACAATGACAAGTAACATGTATATGTGAAATAGAAGAGAAAATGCATTTTTGTTTGTTATGAAAATCAATTAATGTAAACTATTTCTATTTCTCCCATCCACATCCCCAATCAGTGACAATCTTGTGTTAGGTATATCAGGTACCTGGCAAATCTCCAGTGACAAAAAGGTAGAGAGTTAACAAACAGTTAGCATAGTGAGATATCAGAGCATGTGAGTGGAGTGGCAGACATTTCTGCTCCTCGCTCAAAGAATTTCTGTAATCACTCCGCTCCAGCACCGCTCCGGGTTTTCTGTTTTCTGCTCCTCACTCGCTTCTCGCTCACACAGCAGACAACCTGCTCTGTCTAGCTCGTGGAATGGAGCGATTTGGAGCGAGAGGGAACACTGACACTTCAACCTTCTGAAAAGCTACTATGAGCAAAACTCACATCGGTCCCCTCACGCTCCTCTCTCATTCACATGCTTAAATTCTGCTAGAAATCAGTATTGATATATTGATAAATTTATAAACGTATAAAAACACCCATTCATAATTATTGTGATGCAGTATACCCCATAAAAGATGTGAATTTCTAAATAAAATAGTTTACAAAGTTAAATATAAAAAAGGTTTTATCAGGAATACAGGAATGAATAAAAGATTGGATAAAAATCAAGAAAAATAATCTGAACAGTTCATCATAGTCACACAAATAAAATACACATAGCCTCAAAAGGCTTAACTAAGGCAAAAGCTTAAAGAAAATCATCAGGCTAAAACTCTAAAAGGAGAGAGAGAGAGAGAGAGAGAGAGAGAGAGAGAGAGTAGGGGGGTGAGGGCACACTTCTTCCCCATCTAATACAGGCTTGGCAAAGCAGTTATACCTTTATGCAAATTATATGTAAAATAGACAGTCTACATACACAAATGCTGATTCATAGTTACAAATCAAAACTGCTATATTGCAGACTTTAGGTGGGGTCAGGAAACAATCTGAACACAGTGTCATTGGTAAGATTGAGTCAACGAAGATAGCGCCCCTCTTAGGCTACGTTTACACAGCAGGTAGAAGTGGCCCAAATCAGATTTTCTCACCAAATCAGATTTTTTTGTTTGGCTGTTCACATTAACTTTTAAATGTGACCTGTATGCGACATCAGTCTGAACAGATCACGTTCCTAAACCGACCCGCATGCGCAAAAGAACAATGCTTCACGTGGCGGCTCATCCAGAGGTAAACAGTCACGACGGCCGGCGAACGACAGTCGCTCCCGGAGCTTCAGTTTCGTCTTCGCCAGCATCGCATGAGCGAGTATAAAGTTCCAGTGGTTGACAGCTGGACTCATCACCCACAGTGTGTTGGAGTTCGCCGTAAAAAGGGCGCGTTATTCGGCCACGGCCACTTCTTTGGTTAGTGTCCTCGGATTCTTTAAACTGTTCTCTGACGCTGCAGCCTCGGTCTCCTCGTTTCGTTTGAACACGGAGCGGCTGCGATGAGTCTCTTCTAATGTTTTGGTACAGAAACATCAGCCTAAATATTTATTATTGAGTCTCAGCAGCGCGAAATTATGACGAATGTCGAGTTGTACTGACGTAAAAGTCGCATGAATTCCGATCTGGCTGTTCAGACTGAGTCGCATTGCCGCAGATCGGATACGTATCGGATTTCAGTACCACATATGAAAGCGTCTCAAATCGGAATTGAAAATGTCAGATTCAATGCGGTTTTTGCTGTTCACACTGCCACACAGATGACACATCTGTGTCACATTTGAGGAGAAAAGATCGGATTTGGGCCACTTTTACCTGCTGTGTAAACGTGGCCTTAGTAATGTCAGTAAGGATCGCTGTCAGTCAGGCTAAAGGCCTAGACGGTTCTCAAATGGTCACCTTTCACCCAGTTATACAAAAATAAGCAAACCAAGTTCCGAAACCTCTACTACACACTTTAAAACATGATAATTGCACTAACTTTTACTTTATGACTTTGGTAAAATTACCTACAAATCCAGTAACACATTCTATTTCTTGTGTAATCCTTAGTTACTGAGGTAAATCTGGTTAAGATCAGTAAATTTGGATAAGTACCCAAGACTCTTAGCATTCTTAGCAGTTTTGTTGGTTTCTATGAATTAATTTTAATTTTTCTAATTTATAAATATAATTCTCTTTGCAAAATGTTATTTTTTGTCGTAGCATATTCAATACTCTTAAATGTGAAGTTTGAATGCATTTTACATGTAAATCAAACTTAAGCAAATACGTGACTTCTGATTTGCTTCATGACCCTGAGTGGTTCCAGCACATCTGCTAAAATAGCTGATAGATGGGAATAACAGGTTCTTATCTCATGTCGGAGTGTCCTTCTCAAGGAACATAATCCAAGCCTCATAGACACAAAATGGCCAATGAACTTACTCCTAGGTGTTAGGAATGTCTTCTTAAGCAACATGTTCTACATTAAACAGATTCAAATTTGATTACAGGAAATAATCTGTATCCCCTCAATATGAATATGCAATTTGAATTCTCTTGCTAAAATCTTTTTCTGCCACCGGAATTCATTAGGTCCATGTTTGCCTCCTCTAATCTGAAAGTGTGGCGGCAGATGCCTCACTTGCCCTGTTTGCAAAATAAGGCCTGCATCGTATGTCAGTATCCACTTAGCCATTTCCCAAGAAAAAGCCATCTGGTGCTCTGCATCTGTTATACTTTCCAGCAGAGGCAATCTTTGACCCCTGGCATGTTCAGCTCACAAACGTGTGACTCACTGCACTCTGCTGAACCATGCCACTGAGCAGGTATAAATAGTCTGTATTGTACAGCATGTTCTGCACCTGATATTGTTTAGGGGCATGGCTGAGCCACATTTATCATTTATATTGTCTTGTATCACTTGTAATTGGTTTTCACTTTTCACTATTAGGACATCGATTAGAAATGAAGTACATTTAATTATATACGTGAATGTATTGTATGTCAAATGTACTTCTAATTCAAGCACTTTTTTGGAACATTGAGCTTTAAAGCTGTTAATTAATGTGTTCTTAAGATTTAACATGTAGACTGTAGTTACTATGGTATTTTATGACCTACTATTTAATTGTGTTTCGTTGCTGTCCAAAGAAAAACGTGTATCTCCATTTTTTTGTGATTTTTACTTTTCTACAGCACTTCAGCACGGCAGCTGTTCCATATATTGTGTTAAATTTTAATGATGAATGGACTAATAGAAATGCCCCGAAACTGCTTTCCATTGACATACATTAAACGTTAAGAACATTTTGCCCCAGTTTGGGTTGGAGAGAGGCTAGATTTGTAATTTATGGCCTATTAAGTTGTATTAAGTGTCAGGGCAGACAGGGAAATAAGGCTGCATTTGTACTTTATGACCCACTTTCACTCGATTTCATCCTTGTTCTATGCTGAATAGTTGTTGAATTAAACTGTATTCTGCTCCTGTAGGGAACAAGTGAGAGGGGACAAAGGCGAAGGGTGCTTGTCCACGCCGTCCCTAAACGCCCTTTAAAATCCGCCCTCCTCTTGTCTTTCTAGAGCAGCAGGATCAATCCGGGACTTTTTGTGAAAAGTGATTTCTTTGCCTGCACATTTCTTCAAAAGTCAGCATCAGTTGTTCTGAATATGGCTTTTCAAAGAGCAGCATTTAGGTCAGCTAGGTTTCTTAGAAGCATATCAGTAACACTTAGAACTCATGGAATTACCTGTTCTCAGTATAACAAGGTAAGTTGTGTATTTTGGCTTTGACTTCTGGATTTACAAGATTTTACTTCCAATGCATGCATTCACACAAAGATAATCATGTTTGTGATTTTTCTCTGAATTAGTTTATTTATGAATGACATCAGTAAATGACAATGTTTGGTGCATTTTGTTATCTGTGTTAGTGAATCCTCTAAGCTGTGATAGTTTGGGCACTCAACTGATTACTTGCTCTGTAAGAAATACCTAAAAGGCAATCCTAGCAATATATATGCTTGGTTTTGATGGATCATAAATTGTCCTGTGCCAACCATTTTTACTACTATGGAACAGGGGAACAGCTTAGATTTATGAATATAGTCATAAGTAATGGTTTGGATTTGGTACTGTCTTCCATCCTCTAAGGGACATGCTGAACTAATGTCACCGCATTGATTTCCTGTTCAAACAGCCACTTTGTTTGCAGGAGCGTGCTTAGAGTCCACATTGCCACATCAGCTTTTCAGAGTTCTGTCCAGCATGAAAACCCATGTTATCAGAGATACATTAATGTTTAATCGAAGGTATCCTGATATTAATCAAGATATCTGCTGTTTGTCTGCATTTATCTACCATCTTATGTGAAATAAAGGCATGTCACCTTTAGTGGCCTATTTTCAGAACAAAGCCACATCAGAATTAACCCTTTTTTGATTGTCCCTATCAGACGTTGTGACATATTTATTGGCCAAAATAATGTTTAGAGCATGGATGCCTCTCAATTCTTACAGTGAGGTGCATTTTTTACTAGAGAACTAGAGAAACTGGGCTACTAACAAGCCCTAATTTCTCAATAATGTGGACCACGTTCCCTCTGGAAAGGCAGCACTATAGGTCAGAAAGGGTGAAAGTGCTTTGAACTCAATCTGTTCAATGTCCTTTCCTAACACAGTAAAAAAGAAACAAGAGACTATTTCTGCCCCACACTGACATTTTTGAATGTGTCTGTTGTCATGTGAATTTGTGTGTCCTGTTTCCTCTGCAGGAATGCGTCAGCTGCTGGTTTTCTACCTCCCACTCCAGAAGCGCATGTTTTTATGGCAGCCCTACAGAAGCCGTCAGAGACATTCCAGATGGCTCTACTTTACTGGTTGGAGGTATGAACACAAACTCATTCTGGCCTATTAAAAAACTGAATCCAGTTAATTGACCCCTGACCACAAGTCAAAATGGTTTAAGGGGGAAATGTCCATGAAAAACTTTTTTTTCTCTTATTGAGGCCCTGTGGTAAGTAATTATGTCATAAATGTTTGCTGATTAACCTCAAATTGGTAATGGCACTTGGCAACTTTAATAAGTTGGCTGCTATGGATTACGTAACTGACAAATGATGTGTTTTCTGTTGTACTTCTGACCTGTGAACTGAAGGCCTGGTATATTAAGCTTTTAGAGGCAGTTTCAGACCCAAATCAAATGCATTCTGGCCTCATGTGAACTATGGCACCATCTTAAAACCATGGTAAAACAAACCCTCAGGCATCATGCAAAGTATTCATAACCAGCTCATGTACTTGGTTTCTGTGATGTAGCTTCTAGAGGCATTAACTGTTTTGGGCTTCTTGTTCTTATCACCACCATTGTGAATAATTCTGACTCGGTAAGTTTCTCTGTAGCAGAGCATTTCACATCAAACCACTCTGAATGACTTTGCGTCTTGAAAGGATTTTTGAAAAATCAATCAAATTAAATGCAATAAGCTTGGAGTATAACTATATACATATAATTGAGTTATACAAACCCAATTCCAAAAAGGTTTTGACAGTAGGTAAAATGCAAAAAAAAAACATAAAGCAGTTGTTTATAAATCTACTTTGATCCGTTTTTAAAGGTAACATATATAAAATGCTTAATATTTTACATTATTAACTCTCTTTTTTTGTAAATATACACTCATTCTGAAAATTTTAGCCATTTCGGTGCAATTGAAGACTAGAATACTTAAAGAGGTGATGCAATTATGCTTGGGTATAAATGGAGCATCCATGAAAAGTCTAGTCCTTTATGAGTAAGGATGGGTCATGGTTCACCACTTTGCCAAAATCGCATCAGCAAAAAATCCAAAAGTTTGAAAATAATGCTTTTCCATGAGCAATTGCAAGGATTTTAGGTTTTTCACCTCTCCGGTCCATAATATCATTAAACCATTCATGGAATCCGGAGACATCTCTGTGCGTAAAAGGTCAAGGCCAAAAATCATACTGAATGTTCATGACCTTCAACCCCTCAGATGGCACTGCATTAAAAACCGGGATGCTTCTGTGATTGATATCTCCATGTTACTTTGACAAACCATTATCAGTGAACACACTTTGTCGCTGCCTCCACAAATGCAAGTTAAGGTTGTACTATGCACAGTCGAAGTCATATGTGTTTTCTCTGGGCTTATCTAAAATCTCCTGATGTGCAGTGGAACTGTGTATTGTGGTCTGGTGAGTCTTGTATTGCAGGCATTAAATTTGGAATGAGCGTATATTTACTAAAATACAATAAAATTAAAGCAAAACATACAATATTTTGTTTCATACTGTTTTCAGCTTAATGCAGAATTTACTGATCACTGCTTGTGTTTTTATTAGTACTTCACATACTGTCTTAACTTTTTTGGAATTGGTTTGGTACATATATTATCATAAATCCATATGTAAGTTATGTAATAGGTGAGCAAGCAAGTTCTGGACCCTCCCGGTCAACTACAAATCAGGACCACCCAGAAACCCAGCACAATGATTGTGCTGAACATAACTGGTAATTTCCACATGTGTTCTTGCCAACACGCCTCATGGTAACAAGGGGTTTTCAACATGTATAAGCCTTATAGCAAGTGCTATTGCCAGAACAGTGTTTGGGTAGAATGAACTCCCCATAGATTTGAGGTATTGTTTCCACATCAATCAGACTGAATAGGCTGTGCTTACCAAGGAAATGCTAATTTTAGTACCTTAACACCACTTGTTTATCACCAGTGTCATATTATAAACATACACAGTTACAGTGCAAGGGTAAAAGGTCCATTTAAGTGCAACTGACCACTTATTTTTAGATCTGAAATGGATTCTTTCCCATCTGTTAAGTTGTTTTCTTCTCCTAAGTGCTGTTTCCTGTATTGATGTCCCTTGCTCTGTGCTTTACACAAACACACAGACACACACAGACACACACACACACACACACACACACATACATTGTTCACTAAGTGTATCCATTTTCACTTTTCTATTCCAGGCTTTGGTTTGTGTGGGATACCGGAGAATCTCATCAACGGCCTATTGAAAACAGGAGTGAAACAGCTCACAGCTGTCAGCAACAATGCTGGGTACAAACACTTCATCTCTGTTATGTTAATGGGGGAACACTGTGTTATTACAACATTTGTTCTGTGCACTACATACAGTGGGTTCCTGTCCAAGTATGTTAGACAATATGAAAGGGAAATAGCTTTGTCCGGTCTGCACACAGGAAAGAGGGGGTTAGATCAGAGGGGGAGAGGCTGATTTAACAAATATACAGATGCTGCAAGGAAATCTGTTATGATATAATGTTTTAATCCCCTTAAATTGGCATCTGCTTAAAAGAGTGGATAACTTTGGCCTGGGCCTGCTGCTAAAGACCAAACAAATCAAGAGGATGATCTCTTCATATGTGGGAGAGAACATGGAGTTTGAGAGGCAGTTCCTGTCTGGAGAACTGGAGGTGGAGCTTACCCCTCAGGTAGGGTTCTCAGGTGGAATTGCCCTTTTATGAGAAACAAGGCCTAGTTTCCTCTATTCAAGGCCTAACCTGAGGTAATATAGCTGTAAGCTTAACCCTTAGATGTCTACAGCTAAGCTTACAGCTGTATCAACTCAGGTTAGGCCTTGGATAGAGTCAACTAGGCCTTGTGCTGAGGTGGAATTGCTCTTTTATAC